CTTTATCAAAAAAAAAATGTCTACCGGAAAGTGAAACAAAATTTTTATAAGCATTTTGAATTAAAATTTTTACAACATTGGGTATTCACTCGATTTCTCATTTAGCGATTTCCTTAGTTTGTTGTAATTCAAAAACGAATAACTGTAGATACATGAACATTTCACTAGATGTTTATATTAGCATTTCCTATACACCATACAATTATTGAAAATATTTTGACTCTTTTTGAGCTGTTTACGGATATTTACAGTTTTAAATTTTTTTTTTTTTTTCTATAAATATTAATTACGGGGTGCCGCCACTGGGTGACTTCCCTCTCCCGCTAATCATCCCCATCCCATTTACTTATTGTAATACATGTAATTATAGATTGTAAATAACATTTTTTTGTTCAATAAAAAAAAAAAAAAAAAAAAAAAAAAATATTAATAAAGTTTAATCTGTTTGGCCAAAAAGTGTAAAATTTAATTACAAGGCTCCTGATATATTGTTACTTTCAGTTGAAAAATATTAAAAATACATAGGAACATTTTTTTTATAAGCTTTTAAAGATCGAACTTTGACAAAATTTATCAAATTTAAAATTTTTTTTTTCTTTATTCAATCTGTACACAATCGGCACAATAAGAGTATGAGCTGAGACACAATAAAAAACATGAAATTATGAGCTAAGAAGCCACCCACCGATGACACTTATTTAAAATTTAATAATTATTTTGTAGTTAATAATGAATAAAATGTTCAATTTTTATAGCTAATGATTGAAAATTTAAAACAAGATTCTACAAAAGTAGTTATTCTGTTACCAAAAAATCTAAAAAATACATAAGCACAGTTTATTTGTATAGTCATTTTAAGTTCAAGTATGGATGAAATTACATAATAAAAAACCTAGAATAACTATTTTAGTTATTTTGTTGTGATTGTATAATATTATATTATTCTTTTGTACTTGAAACTTCTAAAGTGTACTATTATATATCTATGATAGTATCACGGTTTTTTGTTGATGTATAATGCGTTATAAGTACCTAATGGATATTGTGATATGATTAATTTGGAATTTATTATTGGTACATAGGTCAATTTTTTTTTAATACCATAGATATGTATATAATATGCCTTAAACCTAGACTGACTTACTGTCTCCGCTCAGAATAGTTTTTCTTATATAATGATATTATATAATTGAATTCAAATTTAATACCATCCATTATACAGTGACCCACTTGTAACCTAATGTAGAACAGAGAACCTTTTTTTATTTTTAACTGTTTACAGGTCCGTTTATTAGTTCTTTTGACTGCTTCTACCAAGTTCCGCCGTCGATCCTATATATATTCTACTTCGTCCAATCTAGAAATATTTTCATGTTTGCGATTTAAATCCCACTGTATTTGATCGAGCCTACGTTGTCGCAATTATTCTCGGGGAAGTGTCATATTAAGCTTAGCAATATTTGTCTCATGGCTCATGAGAATTTCTATTGATTTATTATAGCCGCAAGAACTCCAGTATTTTTGAGATAAGACGTTTCTTAATATTGAGGAATATCTGGGCCCACTTCATTGAATATGATATTGTTAAATACACATTCAGATTGAAAATCAAGTTCTTTAATTTTTTAAGTGATATTGCCTTCCGGTGATATTTTGTATATAATATTATTAAACTATAGTAACAATATATTTCTATTATGTAACATAATACGGTTCTATATTATGTTAAAATACTATTATAAAATATAACAATATTTGTATGTATACTTACACTAAAAATTATATTACATGACATGTAACCGTATTCCGAGAAACACACATTTTCAATATACAAACTATAAACAAAAAATTTGATGTATTGAAATTGATTAAGTGTATGTTTTTCAAAGATATAAAAATACCACTCATGTTACTATGATATTATAAAATTTAAAATAATATTATTCTAAATCAATGATTTTAGTACGTATCTACAATGATATACCTACATAACTTTAAATATATATTTTCCTGTTTTTCATGAATAAAATTAATTTGTTTATAACACTATGATTAAATTTCATGGATAATGTTCTAAAGCTGTGGTATCAAGCAAATATTTGAAAAAGCTTCAAAAGTTCGAAGACAAAACACACTTTTTTTAATTGCCTTAATTCTAAAATAAACAAAATAAATTAAGACAACATAATTATTTTATATTTCTTCTATTGATCATAATTGTCATTAAAATATGACAGTAACTGTATTTAATACTTAGAATTACAAATATGTATATATTATTGTGTTTTAGTTAAATAATATTTTTTTTTATTTTCAAATTGTTTGCGTATAAATGTAAATGTTTCATGCCCACCACACTGGAAGGGTTCACGGTCCACATGTTTGAGTCCACTGAGCTAAAGTATTTCAGCAACACTATTAAATTCCTGACGTGCTTTAGTGTGAAATAATATTGCTAATAATAATATCTTATCAAGTCATAATCAACGTAAAATATCTTCAATATTAGTGTAAGTACTACGGGTTATTCCTGTTATATGTACAAAATATATTCACTTAAAATAAACAATCAAACAATTATTATTACAATATTAAATTTTTTGGTAATAATATAATACGAAAATGAGCACTTTACTACATCATATAAAAAAGGAATAGCCATATCTCATATTTTAAATTCAAACAAATATTAAATTATATATTTAAAAAAATGTTTAATAAATAGATAGGAAATTATCGGTTAATATAATATTATAATTTATTATTATTCATGCACAAAATATATTAACAAATACAATAATTATGCCAACCAATTAATGTATTTTATACAATTATTTTCAAATACTAATTGAACATTAACATTACCATTTTAATGGTAAACTAAACAGTACATGATTCATGTCAATATTAAAATTTGATTATTTTATAACTAAAAGAATATACTTACTAATTTAATTAAAACTTACTTTTTTTTTTTATTAAACAAGTGTTTATAAATATTAATGGATAAAAGTGCTTAAATATTTAGAATGATTAAATTATACATAATTGAGTTTTGAATTAAAAAAAAAACTTAAATATTTTGAACTGATTAACATCAAGTTTAATAGGATTTTATATTAAAAGGGCACAATATTTTTATGGGAAATTTAAGTGTTATTCTATAAAGTGAAATAACTTTTGGATAGTGATTAAAATATCAAAAATCTCACGAAAAAATATATAATATTTTCAAGTAAAGAATTTTTATGTAATCATCGACTTGTGAATAATACATATATTTTCGTTTAATAATATTAATTATTTAAGTGTTATTTCAAAACAATTTTTTAAAAATAAAAGAAAAAATACATAACGATCATAACGGCTCATTAATCGGATAGTAATTAATTGTTACTATATTATTTTATTCAGGAAAAAAATAGTAACCCATTATCCAATATTATTTTGACGTCGTCGTATATTATAGGCAACCACAAACATAATAATGTCATTATGTAACCAATTTACCATAACTATTTTTTTTCGATTTTAAAATGTATTGTATTTACTATAATACTAGTGATAACTTAGTTTTATATAGTATTATATTATTTAGTATAAAAACATAATAACATTACAAACATGTTTGGTGATTACAGTACACAATACAATAGAGGGTTTTTGCACAACACCGGTTAAAAATAAGGTTTGAATCCAATAATGCTATTTACCAAAACAAGCTTTTGCGCATACCCTCTGTATATCGGTACGGTTATTTCATTATCGTAGTTAGTTATTTTAAAAATTTTAACGGGCACCTGGTTGATGTCGGTTATTATCTCATCAAAATATAAAATATCTAATATCTATTATTGGGGGGGGGGGGGTCGCACTACATCGTGTCGTGTCGTGTAAAATAATTTTCTCTGATTGGCTGAACTGCGTGGTTCAACTAAAGTATACCATGGCATATTGTTATTTTATCATACGATACCATAGTGACCAAACGATACCGGATATTTTAATATATTTATGACATTATACGACGCTTGAAAGTGTGAACTATGGACATAATATATAGAACAACTATAGATAGTTAACTATAATGCAATTTGTTATTGAAGCCACTTCCACTATGGGTCATCCACTCAATGCCTAAACGGCAATTTTTACACTTTTATAATAAAATGTAAACATTGCCCACAGAATATAATATATATATAATAACTAAATACCCGACTTCTTCTCATTAATAACGCTGGCAGCCATTTACAACTTGGGCAATGTGATAATATGTAATATGATAATAAACAACAACATTTCATATCCAACAAGCCCGTTGCCAATCAAAACGATTAGAATTTGTAAACATTGCAAAATTGACAAAATAATGGTGTCGGGAATCATAATTCAATAATGTCGTTGTATATGGAGTCGGGTATCTAGCTATTATATATATACGAGTAATATATCTGTGAAATTACCACCGTTTAGGCAAATGGCGACAACAACTTCAAAACATTGCATGATTGTTGTACCTATAGTAGTCGGCTACCTAGTTATTCTATAATATAATATCCATGGTGTAGACCCCACTTTATAATGTTAATATAACCATAGAACATAATCCAGTTTAAAGGTCTTTGGTTACGGTTACAAATTACAATGTGATAAAATAGTTTATCGGAATATAATCCAATAATGCAAAAACTAAATTTCAATATTACAACGTTATTTTATTACCCGATTACCGTCGTATAATAATTTAACCGAACGTTATTTTTACCGGAGTGTTTAACCTACGTTGTGCAAAAACGCTGTAATATTATAATTAATTTTAAATTATGTAAATAATAAAACCAACTGTTGAAAAGTCACATCCAACCATAACGGCTTGGGCGTATATTATGATTTCGCGGTGTTATTATACGCTGCCACACACCGGTACATAAGACATAATATTCATAATAATATTATACTATATAGGTAATAACAGACCGTTTATGTTGTGTTCTCAGGTCGATCGATTCACACGTATTTCAAGATCAGAAGACCGAAAAACGTTCGGCTCTCGTTCGACGGCATCGTGAACAGAGCAAACTCACCGTTCGTGTTGACGCTGTGCCTGCCCGAACCGCTTAATCACAATTCAGCCGAGGTAAGAGCACATTGTCGATCAAATAACAGTTATATCTGCCTCGCCGTATGGTTACCTTCTTCTTATTTCGGTACACAGCCCCCTCCCCAAGAACCCTCTAGTAGACCTCGTTAAAAATAGCATCATGATATTGTTATGATATTATACCACAAGCACATAGCTTCGAGGGTTAAATTGTTTTTAATGCATTTTATATTTTAAAGATTTGAATGTTATGTGATATCATGTATTAAATTTGTTTTAAATTATATAATTATATGATTTGACTTGGTGTGGCCCGATGGTTGGCTCCAGTTTCAAAACGTGTTCTGAGATCAAGCATCGGCCAATGTCACTAGTTTCCAGATTTATATCCACCCGGGTCCTAGTGACAAATCCTTCGCCATATATATTATACGCACGTGTCCAAACCAACCGTACCCTTCTCCACAGCAAAAAAACCAACTTTAAATAACCTTCACTCGACGGTCTATGTTGCAGCGGTTTAAATATTAATAATAATAATAAAAATAATAATTAATCAATCAATAAAACGACGAGGGACCGCAGCAGTATAATATTATAGTTGTATGTCGTAGCCATGGCTGTCGTATGTAATAATAATATAATAACTCTGTCTGACGGTTTTTGTTTGTCCGTTATAAATAGTTATAACTGATGTTAAATAATATACGTCACGTGCGTGCGACCATTACGGGTGTACACAATAATAATAATAATAATATAATATACAAGCAATAACGAGTTGTACAGCCGTTCTCTTTCACACCTTTCGTCGTATTAACGCGCACCAGACCAAGTCTCCGAGCGAATCAAATACCTGTCAGAGCTCTTCCACAAGGGATCATCGGATTAAGGTCTGATAAGTCATTACGGCGGTCTTCTCCGGGTCTATATCCGTGCGTTGACGAAACGTCACCCAGGTCAAATAATATTATTATGGTTTGCCGAGCGAACGGATTATCGGCTTAACTGTACAGCTGATTGCAGCACCTCGCAGATATACCTACGATGAAGCACTTCTTCTGGCTATATTCGATGACGACTTTTTAATTTGTTTCGACTTCCGGTTGTCACAGGAATGCGGAGTGTAAGAGTAACTAATTATTAATGTGGCGTCTATGAATAAAGTACACCGGATTTTCAATACTATAATATTACCGAATTGTCAGAGAAGAATATTTGTGAGATAACGTCATTATGAAATTGCAGCTTAATTTTTTTCCAAAATATTTTCTCAGCATCGCGCTTTTTCTTATACAATATTATTAGTTTTTTAATTATTATTTTTTGTACGACAACAACGTGGCTTCGTCGGATTAAGCTCTGATAAGTCATTACGGTGGTCTTCTCCGGGTCTAGATACAATTAGGGTGTGTTGACGAAACGTCACCCGGTCAAATAATATTATTATGGTTTGCCGAGCAAACGGTTTATCGGCTTAACTACAGCTGCTGCAGCACATCGCAGATATACTATGAACCTCTTCGACTATATTACTGGGACACGGTAGTGTTCGACTTATTATTACTCTGAAGTGATTTTTTAATTTGTTTCGACTTTCGGTTGACACCGAAGTACAGAGTATAAAAAAAACTATAGGTTACGATATTAGAGATACGTCCTACTCTCGACCACAACATTATAATTGTACCCGTCTGGCCGTCTATATTCTAATGACCAGTGTATCGAGTAGTTAATTAGTTATAACCATGATTTAAGATAGTATGGTTGCCCATTAGAAAAATATTATCACACGGCATACGGTTTGAATCGAAGAGTCACGTGATCTACGGGGTCCCCCGCATACAGCGCTCATATCGGTTCAAATCAAAACTAATAACATTTGTTATATTATACCTATATACAATAAAAACATATATAATGATCATATTATATTATCAATTATAAAATAGCCCACTAGAAGCGCTAGCACCGGGGGTCCGATTTAAATCCAATGCCGTCTTATCATACCTCGTTGGGCAACCATACTATCTTAAATCGTGGTTATAACTTATAACTTATGGTTTAGATGAACAAAGTAGTGATATCCGTGTACAACCAAAATGTTGGGCCACTACTCAGCTCGTTTAAATTTTAAATATTTTTATCTAACCAACTACAATTTGTACAAATCGAAGTAATCTAATTAATAATCTGCTTTGGAATATGAAATAAAAAGTGTATGTTGCGATAAAAAGGAAACAAGTTAAGTGAAAATTCGTAAATTTTTGCTTAATAAAATGTTGTTCATCAATCATCATATTTATATTATAAATAAAAAAGTTAGGACTTTTTAAAAAAATAAGTGTGCTTAAAATAAAGTTTACCTGATATGTTATATTATTTATAATTTCTATACAAGGATATAGTATAATTTTACTCATAGTATAAACACTGTGGACATTATAGGTACTGTTACAGTTATCCTATTTAATATTGCACAAAACAATAAAACGAAGTCAGTGCGCCTAAATTCATGCAGGTTTTAGTTTCTTATATTTATATAAGATAATTATCCTTGAAACTGTCCTAAAGATGTAATTAATCTGGGTTTATGTTAAAGCAACATAGAGTAGGTATATAAACGAGTTAATCTGCAGATTTTTCCAAAACTTTTCCAAGGTAACGAACAAGTTAATGGGCATCTGGGGTCTGATAATTTTGTTATCATTTACCAAAACCGCGTTTTAATTAACAGTATAAGCCAACGAATCGAAATAAATACGAACTTGATTTACAGTATCAATAAGAAGTTTGTGAATCTGATTTGTCACTTGATGCAATTAGGATGGTAGGATGTATATATTTACAATTTACATAATACAATACATTACATACAGGGTGTCCCAAGAGAATTTACTTAATGCAAATTGGTTGGATAACGGAGTTAGAGTCTTACCCTTACTGTAAATCATAAACCATACTTGGACCTTCTGTAGGTTTATTGTATATTATATATTATCCATTGACCTATTTAATAAGTATTGTTAATAAACAATCAAACTTTCTATATATCATATTTATGTAGACTTAATATTCTCTTACATTATAATATAATATATTATATTCTTCAATCTGTACCTATTGGCCAAAAACAAAATACATAATATAATAATTGATTTTCTCATTGTAGATATTTACTATTTATACATATCATTACATACCTATACTATATTATAACCTACCTAATAATTTCGGAATGTTTTTTTCATAAAAATACATAGGTACATATTTATTTTTACTGTTATTGAATCTAATGTACTATTTGATTAGCGATGCTTTATTTTCGTGAACATTAGTTTAATAAAATGTATTTCATATGAATCATAATTAAAAAAAAGTGGGTAAGTGGATGTCCATCTACTGTACAGTAGGTTAGGTGGATCAATGTATAATGGAGTATATTAAACTTTAATGAATTCAATAATATAATTACATTGTATAATAAAAACGATTCTGAGCGGAGATGGTTTGTCAGTCTGGATATTTTATATTGTTATTATTTATTATAGCCTGTCAGTTAAAATATTATTATAATATTATAATTTGTTATTTGTTTCTATGGTGATAAACAAAGATTTAGAAATTAAAATCCCATTTTTAGTTGTTTTTCGTAATTTGTCAGTAGTTTTTCCTATGGCATTAAATAACTATTGAGGAAGTCGAAAAATGATCTCTATGAAGTACCTATCTTGATCAAATTTGCTAAAAGATAAGATGGGTATGTTGAAATTGAAGAACTCTTTCTGGTAGAATTTTTGTAAACAGGATAAAAAAAATAATAATAAAAATAAACACCATTGTAAAACCACTAGCTTCCTCACTCTGCTCAGAATCTAAAATGTATCAATTGTAGAGACATTATTTAATTCTGTCGTTGGGTGGTTTTTGGAAGTGAAAATTGTACATACAGTGGAACCTCGATAAGCCAAAAACCTTGTTAAGTCCAAAAAAATTCTGTTCCTTTGCGAAAACCTCGAATACTCGAAAAAAAAACTATAAATAACTCGAACATATTGTGCTCCGAATATAGACGGATAATGACGGATAGCTTTATAAACATTTGTCTAAACGTTCCGATGATTTTTTTCTAATCGCGTTTATTGTGTTTATTATCTTAAGTATTAACTATATTATATAACTATATAGATTAGTTAACCTTGGCACACAACAGTACATATTTTTCATTTGCATCGGTATTGCCAGTTGTGATCGATCGATTACGCGTGTGAGGCAATTTTATCTAATAGCGTTTAATATGTTTATTATCGTTACATTTTTTTACATTGTATTTAAAACTACTTAAAAACTTTAGTACATACATACATTTTAAAAACTCTTAAAGTCGAATTTTTTTTCTAAAACCTTGGTTACTCGAAAACCTTAGTAAGTCGAAACCTCGATAAGTCGAAAAAAATTGCGTTTCCCTTGGTGATGTTGGAAACTCGTCTAATTAGTGTGTTCTAAAACGATGAGCCATTAAACGAAGATTGTTGTTGAACGTTTGTCTCTGAGCACACGTATTAATAATATTATTATGTATACATAATAATAATATGTACATTGTACAGGATATAACAGAAATAACTGTGAACTGAAACTGACTAACTGAATAGCTTTTGTTATAATCAATCATTTTAATTTTAATTTTTTTATACTTGCACTAATTTATAGAACAAGTTTTTAATTGTTTTTTCTTGAACTGAAAATAAAAGTTTTAAAATTTGATACCAATCTTGCTGGAAAATTTCAAAATCTCCAATTCGTAAATTTGATTATAAGAACAGTTTTGATAACATTTATCCAAGTCAAGTTGTTTATTTTTTTTAGAATTTTTTTAATATAAATATTTTTCCTGGTTAAATTGGTTTAAAACGCAATAGCTAACTTTTAAAAAATATTATTTTTGACTTGAGTATATTAATTATTAAATTATTTATTATCCATATAGTTTTTATATATTTCATATATTTCACAATTTGTGTCATACCTACGTTGAACTAGTATGCATCTTTTTTTTCATATCTTTCTGTTACATCCTGTATAATATTATATAATATAATTAATCGTACACCGTTATAGGTATACATACGTACTACATAATAATATCTACGACGAACGTTTCAGTACATTTTTATATTCGCCACGAAGTAATGACGTGCGATTGAATGCCCTTTGGCATTTCTTCTTTCCATTCATATTATAATATATGTACGGACGTTAGGTACCCAACGAGTAATTTCGGTAAGGACCGTTCGCTATTGGAAGCGAGTGAGTGCGGTATATATAATATATTATACAAGCAATAACATTATTATATACGTAGATCGAACAAGTTCGAGAACCTACAGGTACTTCATATTAATAATAGTGTGTGTACATGTTAAATATATTTTACACAAGACGCGCGTGTAACATGTGCACGTGCATAAAATATATAGTGAACACTCAATACAGGTAGGGTTTTTATTTGCGGTGAAAACGTCGGCGAGTGGTATGTAAAACGTGGCCCTTTTCCGGCACCGGCACCGTACAACGCATATATACCTCTACTCGACGTCTATTACAGCCGCGAACGGGTCAATTATTCAAATTCGAGAATTTCGAAAATGCATTTACGTAAAACACCGCCGCGGCCATGGTAATTTCAACCGTTCCGCGTGGCGGCGGCTTAAATGAACTCTTAATTTATTATTTATTTCACGTGCTCGGAGCGCTTATACCACGGTAGTGGTATAATTGTTCTACGTTCGAATTATTTTCGGACGGCGATTGATGCCCACAAGTGCCCCTCGCAGTAGTGATGGGATACGCGTGGAGTAGGTCGTTCGACGTATCGGAATTAGCGAGAAGCAGCATAAACGGCGAATCGTAAGAACAAAGTTCTATAAAGCCGACTATTGACCTGGAGATAGAAAAAACAAATTTTATACGACCTAAACGTATGTACAGTGAAAATGTTCAACTCGTATGTCTTATATAAAAATTGTATGTCCAGTGTCCACTCGTGAGCCCACTCGTATGCAGTGAGATACGCCATACTATACGGTCGACCCGTTGGAATTTGCAAGAAATTATAAGCGGTGAATCTTTCGAATAAAGTCGGCCGATAAATGAACGCGTCGACGAGTCGGTCGTGGTATAGAGCACGGAAAAATAGATAGGTATCATCAGAAGTTTTTACACTCGTCCTCCGCTATTTACTTCACTTACACCGTAGTTCACCACTTATAATTGGCCGCCAATCATAAGTGCATACATAATACATCACATAGAAACAAATCAACCTATCAGAAGTGGAGAACTACTACGTGGTCCCTCGGAGGTGAAGGAGATGAGTATACTGAAAGAAAAAATCACCATTACAACCTACCTACCTATCTATTCTGTCATGGTATAATATTATATAGGACTCGCAGGCCTTGCTATCGATGAAAACTGGAAACGGCAGCGGATCGTCGCGAAAACTGCATGACCGCGTGCTCGCGATGACACGACGCATAATAATACCATTGGGTTCGGTAGGTACCGATCATATTGGCCCGGAGACGGATGAGGGAGAGAGGGAAAGAATACCAATATAACAACTACCCCCGTTACTATACAACAGTATATTATGTTTTTCGTACACTCAGACGGTGGCGGCGGCAACTTCGGTTTTCGTAATAAAATATTATGTAGCTAGGTATATGGTATATAGCGTCTATATTATACACTTTTCTTGAGCTACATGTTTGCAATATTGACCAAATAATATTATGTACACACGTGTCTCTTACTGCAGACGAAATCTCACACGGCGTAAACGTATACATCTATATAGTGAAAATGTTCCACTCGGGTGTTATATTATATTATTACTGTCGTATAGACGAGGATAGAAACATTGTGTATTCACGGACGCACATCCAAATCGTTAACCAACACGATCCAATATATTATGCACTATATTATATATTGTATATTCAACACTTACCACTATATACGAGCAAAAACACTGCAGATTTACGAATACAAATTTCCAGTCATCTCTTATAACGCAATACCCATATAAACAACAATGAGAATAATATTTCTGAACGGATTCGTCGACAGAGTATTAGATTTTAAACATTGAACTCACGTGTGTACTGAGTAAAAATCTGTGTTTTCGATAAAAATAAATAATAATAATAATAAAAAGTAAAAACACGTCGTTAACGTTTTCACTGATCACTTTTTTTTCTGTTTTTCCATTGTATAGGGTTTGGAGTTCAAAGGTCAAATGGTGTTGTGCAACGAGTCCGGATCGTTACTGTACGTCGGTTCGCCATTGCTGGATGGACTGGACAGTCTGACCAGCAGAAGTCTGTTCATTTCGGACATACCATTGCACGACGCCACCAGAGACGTGATACTAATCGGCGAGCAAGCCAGGGCTCAGGTATGAAATAAACTTTCACAACTCGTATATAAAAAAGTGTGTATATTAGTTTTATAGCCTTCGTATAATGGGAAAATTACCGATATTTAACAGTAATAATATTACAGATTCGTACGCGATATTAAATATTATATCCCTAACCTACTTATAATTAACGTGTTACCGAAATTGTGTTGCTAACTTATTAATACTATACCTACAACCTCAAAAAACGACACGATTGAGAAAAAATAGGCATCTTAATTCTTAAGTCGTCCAAGTTCATATAAAAAAAAAACAACATGAAAAATGGAGAAAATTATTATAACAATACACAGGTACAAGCAAACAAGCATAGTTTATTCGATCCATTTCCTCAACTACATATTTTTATATAATACTATCTATCTGTAATCAGTTTAGTGTGTATATATTTATAAATGAATGTGCGTTTGTATGGTGAATATAGAGTTATAGACTACTGAACCAATCGACCCCAAAATGTGCACCCATAGTCCTTGAGCCTCTGGTTAGGTTCATAGCTTTGTTTTTCAGCCCTTATCAGTGGGACAGCTCACAAAATATAATTAATTTTCTTTTGGCTCACGTAAATCGAACATTTTGTTGGCTTATATAGTATAAATACGTATTACGTGTAATAGGGTTGACATTAACTACAGAAATAAAATAGATTTTTATCTAATCTACAATTTACAATATATAATAGTAATATATATATATTCTATAAACATGAATATATATATATAGTATATACATATATATTTATATATTATATGCATAACATATTATAAGTACTCACAGACAACTTGACCGATTTTGACGAAAATCTCAAGAGTTATCAGTAAAGTTTGGAGGGTAGTTTGAATGACGTTCGAAAATATACCAAGTGCTTTATCCAATCTGCCACAGGAGGATTGCCCATCTCGGTGAAATTAGGTACCTACTCTAAGTTCTAACGGCGATTCGCCCATTAACTGAGGTACACTAAAACCGAAATACACCGACACACTATAGCGCCGTATTTATATATCTGTTCATTTTTTTTTTCACGAGTTGTACAGCCGGCTCAATATAAAATATGATATTGCAACCAAATATAATATCGAGTCGTTAATATATCGCGTGCATCCCAACAATCCTATAACGATGATATTTCCGGCGAATCGACTTCAGGGGGAACGCAGCTTAAACACTCGGGGTGGGGGGGGAAACGACGACCACGCCGAAGACGACTACCTGAGATGGTGCTCGACAAAACAGACGCAGCGGGTGGTATATATAATGTTACGATTTGTAAAGAATTTATGTCGACGAGCCACTTCGTCTGATCCACATCAGCAGCAACAACAACAATAACAATAATATAAATAATCGTAATAATAATAATAATAATAATAATACTAAAAATAATAAATGTAATGGTGATGATGATGATGATGATACGATGTTTTGCCGGTGTTTTTTCATACGCCCTTAGCCAGCAACTATTCCCACAGGCTGATATACTCGAACATTACTGCGCCTACAACCTCATACAACGGTTTCGCGTATTTATTCCGAGAATGTGTTGGAGGAGTCTGTTTTCGTTATTTATATTTTTTTTTTCCACAACACTGCTACCGTCGCCTTATTCAGTCGAGTTAAGCATATTAAAATACATCATAATAGTAATATAGATAACTGTTAGTTATATATTATATTAAGTGAGTCAGTTATATTAATATTACTATATTATATATAGTTAGTTTACTGGCCCTATTATTTTTCAAGTAATAATAATTACCGCGTTTGCACTGAACAGTGGTGCGTGACGATCGTTTCGCGGTAACGTAGATAATTATGTTACAACTGTATACATTTATTTGATGATTAAAAGCTAAAATATGCAACCGGGAGAATGCTACGACCGTAGGTGGAGAAACAGAACTTATCATCCTCAATTAATACACAAGTCCCCAAAAAATTAGCTGGTTAGACCGGTATTATTGTCTTATATAGGTGTCTATCACATATGTTATTATTTTATTAACGTTATGTATCAACAATTAGTCACGGGATTGGACTCAAAGAGTTCTATATCAAAAAATCTAATCAAAAAATTTTAAAAATAGTTTTTTTATCTGTTCAGACAATATTTATTTTTCTCTATTTTTTAGCATTAGAAAAAATTTAATCGATCACATATTTAAAAAGTTACCAGAAACAAAATGTTCTATATGACCCTTATCCAAACAATGTGTTGGATACATCGATAGAACATTTTGTTTTTAAATTTATATTTAAATCAAAAAGTGTTATCGGAAATAAGTATATGTAAATATAGAATAGTTAAGTTCGTGCATCTTTGTTGTTATTTATAAAAATTACACGCGGTACGTCGATGGTACTAAAATACCGAATAAATAGGTACCCTAGATGACCCGATCAGTACCTATCATGATGCACAAAAAAAAAAAAAAAATACATTGCTAAAATTAAGTTAGAACAAATCAATTAATTTGGAATCAATATGTTCTATCGATACAACGTTTTTTTTTTAATTAATAGAATTGGGAACAAAAAGTAGAACCTTTTGTTTCCAAACTAAGAATTTTAAAGTTATTTAATATTTTGAGTACATAAAGGATTTATTTTTGCAATACCCATTAATAAATTGACAGCACAAAAGTTTGTGGATTTTTTGATGTGAAATATTTCAAAATCACTTTGGCAAAAATACGTTATTTTAATTTTTGAATCTTAAAAACTCTCTACTGAACAATTTTGATATTATCACATAGAACTCTTTGATTCCAAGCCCGCGAAGTGTCTAATTTGTTATAATATATTGGCAATGAATCATTTTCATTCGAGTTTTTTATCTTCAGCTAAATTCGTCTAATTCTGGGCAAAATAAATCAATAAGATGTATTTGTTTTTATTTTATTATAATGTCATTCAACAAATATTCTAGTAATTTTCTTTTGTTTCCCCCTCCCCCGAAACATAAATCAATGCATACGATGACATAATATTATGTTCTGAACATATAAAGTTTTCTAAAAATAAAATTACAGTATGCTCTATTCATGTTTGACTCAATTTATATAGTTCTCTTTTCATAATAAATGGTAACTTGCAGTAGGTGCCTAATACACTGCGGTTATTTCCTGTTAGGGTTTAATTTCACTGGTGAAATATTAAAACAATTGCAGTCAAACAAATCACACCATTCACCCTGCCTATAGACGGTACATGATTTGCACAGTACGGTTTTTATGTGTACCACTTTTGCATAATTACTATCTCAAGTAAATATAAGTTAAGCTCGTTAAATTTTAATTGTTTTTTTTTTTTTTTGCTGTATAGTTTAAAAACAGGTACCGATTTTTTTTTATAGTTTAAGTTAAATATAAATGTGCTTTTATAAAATCATAAAAAAAGTTGTTTTTATTTCGTTTTTATAATTACAATATACAGTAAAAATATACGTTTGAATACAATTAGAACGATTGATGAAAAAATATTTTGTTTAGAAAAATTGGATTAATGGTGTCTAATATTTCAACAGCCACTGAAATAATAGTATCATATTTTGATCGACAAGGCTTCATAATAAAATATGGAACTCGCGTTTATTATTTTGAAAATATTTCATCAGATATAATGTAAATTCGATACTAAGACGTGTAATAGTTTCAACACTCAAAATAATTTTTCTTTTTGAAATAACAAGAACTAAACCACGTAATACGTATATTTACATACATTTTATCTTCTTTTGTATTATAAAGAATAATATTCTAAAATATAATATCCTCCTACGAACTTTAACTGTCGTATCAGTAAGTTCAGCATAAAATAGCGGTTATAACCATCAAATTAAACAACTTCGGCCACTGACACCGTTGCTATGTAAAATAAACGTGAAAGAGGGAGGGGGGCTGTTTATTTCGTCGTCATCGGTGTAATATTATAATAATATTGTATTATTTTACTATACAATGGTCGGCCAATTCAGACGGCTCATTAATTAAAATTTTCGGTAAATTTCACATCGGAAAACTTAAGCCAGAAACGAAAATCGTGAATGTAGGCGAGCACCACACGACGCCCTTATTAAAGTGTCCGTTCGTAGATTTTATTTTCTTGTTTTTCTTGTAGTTTTTTTTTTTTTTCATTTCACCTTTCACGTTTAAGTCGTCTTTTCGCCTTTGATTCACCGTACCGCCAACTATACATATAAACATTATATTTATGCATGCATTATTACAGTAATAATCTTATTACGATCGTACGTCCCGTTAAATCGCGCTGTACCGCCGACAGACAAATTGAAAATCGTCTCCGTGTAAACGTTATCGCAAATGGGTTCCGGAAAACGGGTATGAGCGCTAAGTCGTCGTCGTATATGCGCGCCGTTTGCAGTTAAAGGATTTACTGACCCACATAAAATAAGCCGTAGAGATAAAGGGTTAAAACTCTTCTAAGATCCTTTAGACCTTTTCAGTAGACGACTTCAGTTGCGTTGTGGCCGTTTTGAGGTGGTGGTGGTGGCGGTGGTGGCGGTGGTCGTTATAGCGGAAGCAACTCGGACCGAGGCACTCGGATATACAGTCAACAACTCCATTATTTACGGTGTCTCGAGCCAGAGTTATACTTGACTGATATAAAAAGGGTGTCCTAAAATAATAAGCGCATTATACGCATTATTATTGTGTTGCTTGAAAATAATAAAATATTATATTAATATAATGACGTGCGACGTAACAATCATTCGTTCCTTGGGTCGACAACGTTAAACTTGTGTGCTTTTAACAATCAACTAGATTGTATCGACTGATTTTCCGGCCGTATGATTGTATGTGTACCTGCAGACACTTGATGTTCCCTTTGAAAATTTACTCGATATCAATGTTAGTGTATTTTAGTTTAATCAATAAAAAAAACTCAACTGTGTATAATATTACATCGTATTATGATCCCTGCAGGGTTACAATATTATGTTTAATTACTAAATA